GCGGGAGAGGCAGCACCGGGTGCAGGGTCCATCCTCCTCCCCGTGCCCGCCGTGGTCTCCTCTGCAGCAGAGCCCTGTTTCAGAGCCGCAGCAGATGTGAAATATGGAGATGGAAATTGCCAGAGCCTTTTAATTTGGCTCCTGCCAGTTTCTCTGTGTCAGCTATTGATTCTCCTAGAAAGATGAGGCCCCGCTCCCGCCGACAGGCGCTATCGGGGGGTTTTGCTTACCCCAAGAGCAGCAATATGTGTTTTATTAAGTGTCAGATCTCACTAATGAGAAGAGGGAGGAAAATCAATTGTCTGCTCCTATGTGGAGCCCAGCGGCAGGACTAACGAGTGCTTCCTTTTGGACAGGACAGGGCACGATGACAGACGTGGTAGCAGAGGGCTGGCAGCTGAGTGGAGAGGGGGGGAAAGGTGCTTCAAACACCTTTGGGGTTGTATTCATGCAAAGGGGTTCGTGGAGTGCTGCAACACCCGGTGGTTGGATCGAGCCCTGGTGCTGGGAACAGCACGGTTCCAGCTGCGGACTATGGGCAGGTTGAAGTTCCTATTCCTAAACCCAGGATAGGAGCTTGGCCTGTTTGGCTATCCCATTTCTCCATGCTAAATTTAGGGGTGCACTTTAGTGTTTGTGACAAAACCTCAACGCGGAAGTCTCCGCGCAGCCCCAGTGACAAACCCTGCCATCCAAACCCTGCCAAAGTGAGGAGCAAAGCCCAGGACCTCACCTGTGTGAGATGCTGCTCTCGGCTCTGCAGCACCTTTGTCTTGTACTTGAGCCTTTTCAGGTCAGTTCTGGGTACAGGAGCACCGTGGCCAGCACAGAGCTCACCAGCTTGAAGGCAGACAGAGCTCTTCAATAGGAAGACAGAAGCACAGAAGCTTAAACAGCTCCTTTTGGGCCTTGGCAATGGCTGGAGAAGGAGCTGGGGTTACCCAGACCCCCACAGGACTCTCCTACATCCTTAAGCCCTGACACCATCGAGGCCAAGGGATCCACGACGAGGATGGGGATGCACAACATGAGCTCCCTGCAGAAACCTGCCATTGATACCCACCACTGATCCCTGCTAACCCCCCCTCCAAGGCAAGGCCATCGACCTCCCGTCATTCCCATTTGTCATCTTCCCTGTTTGTTAGCAATCCCACCTGACAAGCGCCGAGTTAATCTCTGGGCAGCTGTGGACTGAAGCTCCAGCTGCCCTTGGAAGACGCATTGATGCCTTAACCTGACAGGTCGCCTCCTCCTGCGATGCTCTGGGCCGCTCTGATGGATCTTGCCTATCATTCAGTTACAAAGGCTTGGCAGGGAGGCACTGGGCAAGCACATGAGCCAGCAGCAAGGCTAAGCCCTGACCCAACGAGCTCATGGCAGGGAGCATGGAGGCACCTTCACACGCAGGAGGCCTGGCCAGGTTGCTGAGGAGCACGGCAGGCGTGTGTGGAGCTTGTCGCTGTGACCCAGTGGAACCAGTCTCTTCTCCATCACAAACCAACCAACCGGGCAGTCCTGCAGCAAAGCAGAGCAGGGAAAGCCCTTCCCACCCACGTGGTAGCCGCTGCACTTCCTGGAGCAGTTTATGTCCTATTTCAACACATCTCGAATAGGGATTCTGTGTTTAAGTTCACAGAGCTCCTGACGCTTGGTGAAAGAGCCTTATCTCACTGTGGACACAAGCGCCGGAGTGTGCCTGGCCTCAGATGGAAACACGGCAAAATCACCCCCAAAAAGAGAAAATCCCCCCCCCCCAGCATGCCATGGAGCCCAACAGATGCCATCAGCGCTCCAGAATTCCCAATGGATGAATATGACCATCCTGGATGAATACTAACATCGGCAAAGCAGCAAAGAGCAAAGCACACCTGTGAGGGTCCCTGGTCCACGCCATGCATGACCTTAAGGAGCCGGCTTCCCTGCTCAGTGCTGCACCCATTGCACCTTGTGCTGAGCTGGCATTTACCATTGCCTGGCTGTCATAGAGTGGTTAGAGTTGGAAGGGACCTTAAAGAGGGTTGGAAGGGACCTTAAAGAGGGTTGGAAGGGACCTTAAAGAGGGTTGGAAGGGACCTTAAAGGGACCTGTCCTGAGGCTGTATCCCTGCAGTTTGCTGTTGAGGTCCAGGCTTGGTAAAAGAGAACCAAGCTTTAACCCATCCCACAGCAGCTCAGCAGCTCCTTGGAGCCCAGACTCATAGGAGGCTGCCTGGTCCCATGGAGCAGAGGTGAAACAAGCTGGAAGCACAATGGGGATGTCTCATATGGGGAAGCAAAGCTTTGGAAATCAAATGAGCGCAGCCCTGCAGTGCTCAGAGCGCCCCAATGCCCCGCACTGGGAGCAGCATCACAGTGAGATCATAAACGCCGGGTGTTCCATACTGCCTGTGTTCCGCCTAAGAGCCACAGTGGAATGAAGGAGGCGGAGGGGCAGCAGTGCCGTGCTCCTCACCCCATGTATCCACATCTGCCCCCGGGTGTCCCCGCACACACCGGGAGCTGCATTTCCTCCGGGACTGGAGAAGCAGTTTACGAGGTGAGGGTACCGATGATTCTGAGGCCGATGGCCCTATAGATCCTTGGGGTCTGTCCCTACGCATGGGGACATTGGCTGAAAGGCTGAGCGAGCTGGGCTGGGTCAGCCTGGAGAAGAGAAGGCTCCTGAAGGGGAGACCTGAGAGCAGCTCCAGTGCCTGAAGGGGCTGCAGGAAAGCTGGAGAGGGGCTTTGGAAAAGGGGCTGTAGGGACAGGCCAAGGAGAATGGCTTTAACCTGCCAGAGGGGAGATGGAGAGGAGCTCTTAGGCAGAAGCTCTTCCCTGTGAGGGTGCTGAGGCGCTGGCACAGGGTGCCCAGAGAAGCTGTGGCTGCCCCATCCCTGGCAGTGCTCAAGGGGAGGTTGGACACAGGGGCTTGGAGCAAGCTGCTCCAGTGGAAGGGGTCCCTGCCCGTGGCAGGGGTTGGGACTGGGTGAGCTTTAAACCATCCTGTGATGCTGTGATTAAACCACTGCCACCAAGAACAAAAAGCATCAGGGTGAAAAGCAGAGCCTTGGGGGACACGATGGATGCTGGGGTCCCCGGCCCAGGACCGCACATCACAATGCATCGCCATGGCAACCAGGGCAGCAGGAGGAAGCCACAGCACTTCGTTTGAGCTGTGGGAAGGTGTTGGGGTGCCCCGGCTCCCCTGGGTGCTCCCCAGTTGCTGTGGGCGCCTCCTTCCACTCCACGCAGACTCTGGGTGATCCCAAGGCAACGCGGCTCCAGCTTGGGCAATTGCAGCCTCCTGGCTGCAAGCAGAGTGCGGCTACGGGGAAAGCAGCCATGGCAAGGAAAATACAAGGGGTATGAAAACAGAAAGGGGAAACATGCACAATCGCAGCTCTGTCTGTGGGCAAACAGGCTGCTGGAGAGAGCCAAACCACTCTGAGAGCGGGGTACCACAACCCAACGCATGTGCCGTGCCTGGTGCGCTCCATAGGGGGATGCTGGGAGCTGGCTCTGCTCCGGGTGAGGTGGGGTTTTGGTGTGTGGAAGGAAAAGGAAAAGGAAATCCTGCTTGTTTCTGAGGCCGACGGCTCCCTTGGAGAACAGGTTGCTGTGAATGAGTGAATTAGCTTTAATCACAGCGTGGCAAAGGCCAGGCAGCTGACAGGTTTACAAACACTTGAGAGCCCTCCAAGGCAGTGCTATTGGTTCTGTCATGTATTTAGGAGAAATGAGGCCAAGAAAAGTGGCTCTGCCAATTCGATAGCACCAGCCAGCTCCCACCAGACCGGTAAGAGCTGGAACACCCCGCTTAGGTACACCAGCTTCAATAATTACAGGCAGAAAATCACACAGGAGGAGAGTTACCCGTTGCTGGGTTGTGTCGGCACAGGCTGATCCAGGACACAAGAACCTGCTTCCAGGCTTCCCTATGTCTTTCCTTTCCAAACCAAGCGCGTGCAGCTGGTGAAAGCCACGCTCTTGATGTCAAGCTGGGTTCTCCTGATGGTATCACCAACAACAGGGCATTTATTTAGCTCCTTTCTGTCTATGAGACACAAGCTGCAGGAGCACCACCGAGAAACCCCTTCTGCCCCGGCACCACCAACCGGGGCAAGTCTTTGCCGGTAAATGAAACACTGAAGGCTGGGGCAGCAGATAAGGCATTGGGAAGGACCATCACCTAAACGCCTTCTTAACAGCCAGCTGTGATCTGTTCACAGTTGCTTTGCACATGTTCCATTCTCTTAGGGCACATCCTTTAGACACCAACAGCATCCAACAGAAAGCAAGGAGGTATCATGGTCCCAGGTGATGATATAAGCTAAAACCTAAGAAAGGGAAAGCAATAAGGCACTGAAAACCCTAAGTTATGGCTGTCAGTCCACTGCTGAAGGTAGAGGAGCAAGGAGAAGCACCAGCTTTCCTCTTGAAAGCTGTTGTGAGGCGCACTGCGTGGTTCTGGCTGCTGAATAGCAGCTCACGTGGGGGGCAGAGGGTTAATCTGAATCACCAAGGTGATTATGTAGCTGTAGACCTGGCTTAGAGGATGGGTCTCAAACGCAACAGCCTGGCAGATTACAGAGGGAGAAAAATAGACATCTCCAGAGATGTAAAAGAATGGAAAGCAATTGCTTACAGGAGTACAAAGGCATCTAATTAGAATGGAACAGAAGATAATAAGATACAGAGGAATTTTGGCAGGGTATATCAGAGAAGAGCTCCTGACAGTGAATATTATTAAGCAGAGGTAGAAATGCTCAAAAGGGGGAGGGTAGAAGGAGCCCAGCTAGTCGGAATATGGAAAAGCAGACTACACAAAACATCAGCATACAACCAGAAAGGAAAATTCCTCTGGAGCTCCATGGAGTTTAATGGCTCTTTCCCATCTAAAACTGTTAAGCTAAGCTTGAAGAGAGAGGAGTCACGGTTATACTCCCTCACAGCTGCTTTTCCTGTGGTCCTTGATGTTGTTATTTCCATCTTCTTACGCAGCAACCGAGCTTTGGGGTCATGGCTGCAGTTGCCAGTGAGCCTAACAGCAGCTGGGAGAGCACTGCGCAGAGGGAAGCCCAGGGCAGTGGCACCTGGGATCTGTACGTGCGACAGAGAAGCCTCATCCGGCAGTTCCTGCGCTCCAGCCTCAGCCTCCCCTACCTCCAGAAGCAGCAGAACAAGGTTCGTGCCCTGAAGAGGTGCTCCTTTTACTTGGATATTGAGCCCAAATACGTGAACGTGACAGACCAGAACCATGGGATGCATCGCATCGAGATCCTGCAGCTCATAGGCGGCCAGCGGCTGCGGAGGGTGCGGAAGATGGGAAAAACCCAGACCCAAATCCAGCTGCTGCTGCTAACGGAGCTGTTGGAACAGCTGCACCAAGGCCGGCAGGAGCTGAACTTCTATGTAGAGTTCTGTGACATGACGACTTTCTTCTCCCAGTGGGACAGGATCAGGCAGAAACTGTGCAAGCTCACTGGGTATATGGAAACCCTCCTCTCCTTGGAGTTCCCAGGGAAGATCTGCGTCAAGCACAGCCTGGTGTCCCACATGGATCTCACGGGCAGCAGACCCCCCAGCTTCAGCCTGTCCCTCTACACCAAGATGCCCGTGGTTTTTGATCGCAAGGAATCTTTTGCGCTCGACAACTGGGCCAGGCTCAAGTGGTTTACGGAGAACCAGGAGTCACACCTGGAACAGTGCGAGCTGAGCTTCAAGCTACTGACAGTCGGGTTGGAAGTGGGATTCGGCAGGACCTACCAAGTCAGCTCCAACTCCTGCGTGGTCCACAGCCTGAAGCCCGGCAGATCCTACGAGTTCACCATTAGAAGGTCACCCGAACAGGCCCTTGTCCTTGAGGAGTGGCACGACACCATCGTTCTGACAACGCGCACCACCAAAGACGTGCAGAGAACCCCGGAGGGATGAGGTGACGCACGGGAACGTGCCTCTCCTTTGATATGTTTGAAACCATATGAATGAGAGCTATTAAAGGCAAACCTTATTTTTAAGTGTTAGAACTAAACCCGACCTCGTTCTTGTTTTAAACAACAATTTTAGAAGCATTTTCCCCAAATCCTTCCAGGTTCCAACCTTCTCGCATCCTTTGGCAGCAGTTTAGCACCCAACGCTTCCCCCTGCCAGGACTCACAGGTGGGAGCACTAAATCAGGCAGACACCTTTGAATTAGATGATCTTTGAGGTGCCTTCCAATCCGAACCATCCTATGATTCTATGCAAAGCACAGGTTACGGAAGCATCTCCATCACCCAGGGCTTGCCATCCACTGGAAGATGCCCAGTGCCAGCTCTAGCAATGATGCTTTGTTTCCCCATGCTTCCCCTCCTCTAAAACACTTGAACTGAATCCTAAGCTCTCAAATCACTCGCCTTGTCTTATCTCCATCTCTGGTTCCTCTCACCCTCTACACACTGGCCTGTACTGCAGTTAATGCAGTACCATTTGGTTCAGTCCAGATAGAGCCATCCCCACACAGATTCCAGTTAAACCACCACAGAAACAGAGCTTTTCGTAATAAAATTTATTCTTTAAATAAATCCAAATCATTTTTACAATTATGGCTTAAATATCAAAATCAAACGAAAAACAACCCAGGAATGTTTGAGGTTCATTCTTATAAAGCAGGTAAAAAAATCTGTATCCAAAACATCATTTGAGGTTTGCTGCAAGTCACAGACGTACAAAAGATAAAAGCCTGCCCCATCTAAAGTTCCTCAATTTTACACTTCATGACACTTAACATTTCATTTCTATTTAAAAAACCCCAACAATTTATTGCAGTAAATTGATTGTCCTACACACATCTGTCCAGTCCCTCAGGAACGGGCCTAGGGGCCTCTCCTTTGCCAGCCAAGGAGAGGTCTCCCTGTTCTGGGTGGCTGTGGGGTCACCACCAGCCCAAGGAGGATGGCTACAACCCCATGGACCATTCCTTCCTGCTTGCACAGGTTCCCCTGGTTCAGCCCAGGCCCAAGCTCTAACTAGTGCCAAGGAAAGGAAGTTTTCCTGCTGGATGAATCCACATCTGTGTCCTGCAACAAGGTTCTTTTGTCTGTGAGCTGCAGAAAACATAGAGCCTGGGACTGGACAGGCACCCTGTGCTGCCAGTGGATTCCTATTGGAGTTACCAAAGGTTTGGTCATTGAAGAGCATGTGCTTGAACAGAAAATTCAATTCAGGAGTAAATTCCAAGCTCTGTGTGCAAATGAAACTGGACTGCTTGGAACTCTCTTGTCTCTATTTATGTCAGTGGTTCTCTGTCCATGAGCACAAGGACAAGGACGCGATATAAAGCTGTCATTAACAGTCTATAAAAACTTGGATTAATTGCACTTCCAGCTATCCCTGACTCCTGCAGCTGCAGGACCAACTCTACAGGTACCTGCCCACAGCCCAAGCAGCCCAAGAGTCCAGCCCAGCTCGGGTGGACTAGGGCAGTGTTTTCCAAGCAGTGCCTATAAAATGCATGCTCAGAGGGAAAAAGAAGACGTCTATTGTCCTGCAACACAGAGGTGACCAAGCAAAGCATCTCATGACCCTCCAAGGAGTAGCAGCAAACACTTTTTCCCCACTGAGGGCAAGGGAGATGCTTTGTGAGGTCTCTTTCCTGGTCTATACAAACACATGGGCAAACTCCACTCAACAGCACTGGACGAAGCCACCACTCTTGGGGTGAGTTTGTGTTAGATGTGATGGAATAACCAGCAAAAACCACCAGGGAGGAGGCTCCACGCTTACATTAGATCAGGAAAATGAGACCCGCTGGTTCCAAAGAGACCAAGGTGACTTTGTCAGAACAATGCTGGCACCATGATGAAGTATTCAGCCCAACAATTCCAGCATCTCCTGCGATCCTCCCCATCACCTCGGAGGTACAAGACTGCATTTCAGTAGTCCACAAAAAGATTCCCGTGCAAGCTTACTTTGGAATTGCAAAAACCAGGCTGGCGCGGAAGAAGATCCCAACCAGGATGACTTCAAAGAGGAACAATGAACGCTGCATCTTCCCCGCTTTCATCGGGCATCTTTAGAACCAGCAGGAGATACCTCCTATGGGCTTTTGTCCCTCACAGAATCACCAGCCATACGCCTATTATCATGCTTCAATAAGACAAGAGCAAGCCTGGGTGGGCTCTGGTGTTCAGATCAAGCCCACAAAGGTAGTTTAAAATGAGAGAACAACAGAATTTCTCCGTAGCTCTTGAGTCAAGTCTATCACAGTCATGAGCAAACAGAAACGCAGCGTTCATGAAGGACTTTTCCAGACACAATGCTTCCTTATTGCACATCCCTCCACACTGGAAAGAACCACGCTGCAGTTTCGGTTGCACGCCCAGCACAGAATTCATCCCGGCTGTGGTGCTGTGAAGTCCTGGGGACCCCTCGCTTGCACCAAGGAGGACTCAGGGTCCCAGCACGGAATATACTTGGTCTGAAACCACCGGGATTGCGCCTTGGCTCCATCCCACATCCAGACACAGCCACGCGCGTGGCCCTGGGGAGACCTGAGGCAGGCACTTCATACATTCAGGGCTGAAATGAGATAAAAGACCCCTTCCCTTCAAACTACCGTGCTTCAAAAAGCAGCTCCGTGATTCAGCAGAGAGCCCTGCACCGGTGTCAGCTGCAGCAGCCTGCCCGAGTGAATCACGGCTTCCAGCGCACAGCAGTTTGGCTCCTCGCAACCACAAAGGTACATGATGCGCACGCAAGCTGTGGGCACATTGATCGCTTCCCCATCACCGCCCTTAGAAACTCAGGCCATAAAACTGTGAAACCAATTCACAGAGTTACAAGTCAATAAATTAGAAGCAGCTTTAAAAAAACATGGGGTAGGAAAAGGGGTGGAGGGGGCTCCCCCAGGAGGAGATCCCAAATGGAACCCAGAAGAGGTTAAAATAGGCTTACAAATGCCAGCGTTTCCTGGAAGAAGAGGTCCTTGCTTTCCACTAACGTCACGCTGCTGAGGACGACCTCCTTTGTACAAAGAAGAAGTGAATCTATTTACAAAACCAACTCGGCCTTGGCTCTGTGGTATTTACACAGTGAGAGAACAGTGTTTTAGCTGCACAAAGAGCGGAACACGGTTCTCTCTTTGCTTTCTTCCTTCATTTAAAAACAAGGATAAAACAAAACACATTGGTTTTCTGCTTTGAGAAACGAGAAGCCTTAAAAATCCCCTGGCCTTGGTTTCCAAAGGACTGGTAGCACTCAGAAGCTTTGGTCCCCTATGGCAAAGAGCAGATTGCTGCGTGGCTCCGTTGCACGCAGGAATTCCACCTTCGGCGGATGGATTGAGTATTTGGTCCCCAAAGCACAGCTACACTGGCAGGCAGGATGGAGGCTCCGCTGAGCATCTTCTGGTTAAAAACCAGCACCACCATCGATCAAGTCGCATCCCCATCCATCCATTTCCAATGGTTTTTGGTTTGCTAGAGCTGAAGGTTCCTATCCAAGGTTGCACTGATTTAAACACCCCAAGGTGCACTGAAGCGGAGCTGTGGCTGTGCAGGAAACGTCCCACACACGGCATCTGGCTCCATGGGTGATTCAATAATGGAAAGATTCCGTCCTTCCCAAGGCACACGTAACGCAGTTCAGGTCGAGAGGGAAGAGCTCGTGGAGGTACAGCCCATCCTCACCAGTGGACGGCTGAAGCCTTCATGACTAAGATGCCGTGGCCTGCAGTGTAGCAGTTTTGCTGCCTGTAATGCTGGAGCAGTCTCCTCCACAAAGGGTTGCACTCCAGGAGGTACCGGTTCCCTGGTGGCACAAAGAAGGGGGGAGGCAGCAGGTTAGTGGCCAGAAGAGGCTTGAACAACATCAAGGAAACTCCTGTCTGACCCCTGTAGCCTAACGGTGCTGGGTAACTCATAGGGACATCTTCAGCCACAGCTCAAGGCTCCCTTTTCCAAGCTGTCATCTCTGTGAGCAGCTTCCCTACACATCACAGCCTACTCGTGATTAGGAGGGAACTAAGCAGCCAAATTGTGTTAGGAGATTGCTCCAGCCTGCAAGTGACAGAAACTATGTGGTCCCAACCAGAGGGTGAGAAAAAACAATAGTACACATTGGGAATGAGCCATGAAGGATCTCCACTTTTCAGACTGCCCAGACACACCACTTTCAAACCCATAGGCATCTAAAAGAATAAAGCAAGACCATCAGTCAGAATCACAGAACAGTTCGGGTTGGAAAGGACCTGAAGATCATCCAGTTCCAACCCCCTGCCATGGGCAGGGACACCTCACACTAAACCATCTCACCAAGGCCTCGTCCAACCTGGCCTTGAACACTGCCAGGGATGGAGCATTCACAACCTCCCTGGGCAACCCATTCCAGTGCCTCACCACCCTCACAGGAAAGAATTTCCTCCTTAGATCCAATCTAAACTTCCCCTGTTTCAGTTTGAACCCGTTACCCCTTGTCCTATCATAACAGTCCCTAATGAAGAGTTCCTCCACAGCATCCCTATGGGCCCCCATCAGATACTGGAAGCTGCTCTGAGGTCTCCACGCAGCTTCTCTTCTCCAGGCTCTCTGTACTAGTCTGGACCTCCACCCCTTTATCATAAAATGGTTTGGGATGGAAAGGACCTGAAGATCACCCAGTTCCAGCCCCCTGCCCTGGGCAGTGATGTCTCACATTAGCACCCTGTTTCCCCATGGGCCTGTGCTCACCTCCAGCAGACCCACCTAAAATGCAGAGTCCTTCCCGCGCTCGGGTGATGCCGACATTGACCTGGTTTGGGTCAGTGATGAACCCCAGGAACTTCTTCTGCCAGCTCTTGGTGGGGTTCCTGTCAATCTCCGCTCGGGGACGGGAGCGCACAGTCGACATGATCACGTATCTCCACTCGCTTCCTGGAAAGCGGAATTGAACCATGGCTTTGCAGAAGGAAGCATCCG